TCAACCCAGCTTTCTAGCTATCACTACCTTGAATAAGACCTCTAAGCTCAGCTTCAGCATGCTCTCTTTGGACTGGGCTTATGACAGAACCTACCACACAGGCCTGCTATAAGGGTCCATGAGATGAATCCCATAAAGTGGAGGTTGGTGGCGATTGGTGCTTATCCATGTATGCAACTTTAAGCAGCATATGTCATGTAATAAAACATTGGTGGTTATTAAGTAAAATTAGGTAAAATGAATGTTACTTTTTATATCAGTGAACCTTTCTACTTGCTCTATACCTTATAGCAGGGGTGGGGAACCTTTTTTCTGCCAAGAACCATTCAAATATTTATAAATTTATTTGCAGGCCATACGAAATAATCAACTTAAAAATTAGTCTGCTATATTTGGTCAAACATTTAATTAACTCACCCCTAATGCTTTGGCAGGACCAAACCAAATGATTTCATGAGTCTTACTAGTATATGATCTGCAGGCCAGGCATTTCACACCCCTGCTTATAGCAAAAATTATATTATTTTTATTTTCCCCATTTCTCAAAGATTATAAGGTGGGTTGAGAGACTGGGTGAAAATGTGAAGGGACTAAGAAATATAGACTAGTAGTTACAAAGTAGTCATGGGAATGTTAAGTACAACATAGGGAATTTAGTCAACAACATTGTAATAACTATGTATGGTGCCAGATGAGTACTGGAAATATCAGGGGGAACACTTTGTAAAGTATATGCCTAATCACTATGCTGTGCAGCTGAAACTAATACAAAATAATATTGAACCCTTTCTCCCCCCACCTAATATGAGGGACAGAAGGAGATGTGACTTTGGGTGGTGGGTACATGGTCCTATATACAGATTTTATGAGTTAGTAATCCACACATGAAACATATATGTTCATGTTGACTAATGTCACCCCAATAAATTTTAATTAAAATAAAATAATAATAATATTTAATGTAAACTGTAACTTAAAAAAATAAAATAAAAAGTGAAGAAATAAAGTGAATTATATAAGAAAGATTATTTATTGAATATCAGAAAGAATTGTGCTAAGAAGTATACAAGATGAATAAGAACTGCTATTACTCTTACTTAGTTTATACTTTAGTACTGAAGCAAATAAACAGATAAGACTTCAGTTCTGTGGGTAAGTCCTGGGATAAAGGTAAATGCCCAAAGAAATGGAAGCACATTGCAGAGGCCCCGATCCAACGTGGCTAAGAGCAGGGGAAAGAAGGAGGCTGTCTGAGAGGCTTGCTCAGAGGGAGTGAAACCCATATTGAGTCTTCAAGATTTACAAATGATCCTGGTAGGGAAGAGGCCATCTGGAAAGAGGCATTAGCAAAGGCATAAAAACCTCAGAGACCCTGAGAGAGTCAGGGAACCAAAAGAAGCCAGAAATAACACTGGTGAGTTTCAGGTAAGCAATTAAGTCTGTGTGCTTTACTACGCTCGGGACCTTCTCTTGAGTGCAAGAAAGGACCTGGATAGAATATTAAGTAGAACAGTGATCAGGTATGTATTTTAGAAAGACCACTCTAGAACTAATTTAAAGATATTCAAGAGGTAAAATAAAGATCCAAAATAAGGAGCTGAAGCAAAAACAATAGCTCTGAAAGATTAAAAATTAAGAATGGGCTAGACTTTGAGATGGGGATGAAGGAGAAAAGGATGACTACTTGTTTTCTGACTTAACCTAGTCAGTGGCTGATGATTCCATCCATAGAAGTAATAAAGCAGAGGAGAAAGAGAGAAAATTTGAAGAGAAGAGAGCTAGTGAATTCAGATTTCATCTACTGAGCTTACAAACTTATGTGCCAGAAGGTAGCTGGATATGTGAGAATTAATGAGTACTTATTACAGATTGCCTGAATTTGTCAGGTTAATTGTAATAAAAGCTAACATTTATTGAGTTGCTACTCTAATAAATTTAGCATGTGCTAAATTTTCCATATAATTTATTTTTGTTAATCTCCCTACTCCACGGATGAAGAAAAGTTTAATTAATTCCCCAGAGATTGTCAAATGTCAGGGATGTTTGATTTCAGAGTTCAGTCTCTAACCCACTACACTATGTTGTATCATAAAATACCCATTATAGGTTTTAGGACCAGATAAAAGTGGATTCAATTCTAATGTCTGCCACTTAACTATTGTTTGAGTAGGCTACTCTCTATATACAGTTTCTTTTACTGTAAAATGGTGACTATAGCAAGTACATCACAAGGACATAGTAAGGGCAGGAGAGAATATATGGCAAATGCTGGATGGGGTGTACTTGTGCAATAAATGACACCAATTATTAAGCCAATGCATAGAGAAAGAATTCTTCTTTAAGTAAGAAAACTATGATCTAAGTGGATTCCCTTTCATCTTATTATGCTCTTTCTTTTAATGCTACCCTATTTGTTTTGCATCTTAATAAATGCTAAGTATCTTGTTATCAAAAAGTTTTGAGACATTAAGACACAATGCAATATTTAAAATAATTTAAATGTTTTATTCAAATAGAAATCATTTCAATGTAAAGGAGGTTAATTCCGACTTCTTTGATATTTCTAGGATAATGAATGTCAAATAAGAAAACTCAAAAGCGTTGTCATGTTGATGTCATGAAGAGAGCTTTGGACTTGGAGTCAGAAGACCTGTGTGAAGTCCCAACTCTGATGCTCATGGCCATGCCAACATGGGCAGGTCACATCCCTTTGCTCATGTGCAAGATCAAGAGGTTGTCCTATTCGGCCTTCTATGTCTAAAGATGTGGAAGGAGGAGGAAGGATTTTTGATGTTTATAAATTCAAATCATTAATCCATTAACACTTGACAAAAACTTTAAGCTCCCTATGGTTTAAACCAGAAGCACCGATGCTTGATGGCCTAACAAAACACTGCAGAGATCAGCAGCTTCAATTACCCTCGAGTGAAGAGTTCACTGTCAGAAAGGGGAAGAGAAACAGACAGTGCAGGTCATCTTTTTTTCTCTTAATATCTTTTCCATTCTCACCATAAAATCAGCAACTGGCTTCGAGCAGAGAGACCATAAAGTCACCCTAAATTTCTGGTTCTCAAACCTGGTTGCACATTAGTAATATTAGAAACTTATTTTTTTAATATATTTTTATCAATTTCAAAGAGAAAAGGAGAGGGAGAGAGAACTAGAAACATCAATGAGGAGAGAGAATCATTGAGCAGCAATTTCCTGCATGCCCCACACAGGAGATTGAGCCTGCAACCTGGGCATATGCTCTGACCCCTGACCGGGAATATAATTGTGATCTCCTGGTTCATAGGTCGATACTCAACCACTGAGACATGGCCGATCAGGAATTTATTTGTTGTTGTTTTTTTAAATTCTGAGCTCACAACTCTAAAATATCACTAAGGAGAAACCAGTATTTGGTCTAAAGAACTGGGTTTCATTTTGCAAAAGGCTGTGTGAAGAACCTTGGGTAATAACCTCACTCCAATGTTAAACACAAAAACATATTATCTTTAACCTCCATTGTATTAAAAACGAAAATTCATTCTTGAGTACACACACATCCTAGAGTAATTAGCTGAATCAACTATCCCAGACTCCACCTGCTTTAGCTCTGAAAGATCCATGTCCTAGGAAACCCTTGGGTCTCTGGAAAACCAGGACAGTTGGTCAATCTTAAAATACACACACACACACACACACACACACACACATACACACACACACACACACACACACATTTTTATGTAACTCTCAGTGTGTCAGAACAAAGTACAAGTCAACAGCAGCCCTCTCATGAAGCATCACCATTCAGAGGATAGACATCATTATTCACTCAGGTACATACATGGTGACATAGACTCTGACACCACAGGATCCATAAACATGGGATGCATAGATGATATACCATCCTGCTATCATCCATGCTATGAATAATCAACATTTAAAAAATAACTACTTTGAAACCCAGCCTGGCCAGGCAATTTCAAAGAATAATATCTCTACCACTTGAGAGATTATTTATAGTTTTATGGTGTTAAAATTTTTCTTACATGTTGTTTCTATGTGAAATTTAATAATACTATACAATGAAATTAAACAATGCTCATGTGTGTTTGTGAGGACTCGATTATCATTTCTTTTAAATAAAATAATGGAAAAATTAACTTATCTTGGAAAAGCATGTACACTATAGAACACATATACCTCTGTATTTTAAAATTAAACTCATTAAAAAAATCTTTTCTAAAACCACATTATTATATTGATACACAAACACACTGCCCTCTGTTGCCTGATTAGACTCTCAGATCAAACCATGATCACATAAGCAACACACACTTGGTAGATACACATCTCCTTACGTGTGACATCACTAGCTGTCTGTGACCAGAACAGTGTGGACCACAGTTGGCAGTAGTGTGTATGAGGAAAGACCTCCCATTGACTCCAGTTCCACACAATAAAGAGCTAGTCTCATGCAGACTGCTAATGAATTAGGAGAAAATACCATCTATACCTTTTGTAAAAAATCAGAATCTTAGAATGATTGCCAGCAATCTTATGCACTCTTTATTCTGTAAAGAGCTTTGCAAAATAGGAAAGCCCTTGAGAACTGTGATAGCCATCCGTGAAATGAATAATAGGCATGCTAGTCAAATACTTTGTCTTTTATATGCTTCTAACATTCAACAACAGATCCACAATCTGAGCACATTTGGAATAAAACTAATAATGGAGATGTTTGAAATTGTTTACACTGTCTAAAACATTTAGCATGATTCCAATTCCCTGATCTTTCTGGCGGTGGTTTAACAGGTAAGTAGACAGTTAAGGGAGACCACAATCATAAACAGGAACACCATACATTTCCAAAGGTCTGTTTTACTATAATAAAAGAGGATTCTCAAATCAACTAAAAATATGTTTTAAAAACTAGCTTTTTATAATATATTCCTTTCAGTATGATTTTGAGTAGTCATACTTCAAAAAGTTGAGATTGAATTAAGACTTACTGATTGTTCATTTAAGTCCTGGGAGTCTTCCATGGGGTTTTCTCACGTCTCCTGCCACCCCAAGTAGAAGCAGCCTCCTTTGATTAAAAATGGACTATCTAAAGCAAAAAGATGGAAACAAAGAAGAAAAATGAAATCTTTTTCATCTATTTGTAGGAAGAAGAAAAAGTAAAGATAAAAATTATGATAAACAAATACATATATATCAACAAGTGAATCTAAAAATCAAGTGAATTAAAAATCTGATGAACAGAATAAACAGGTGAATATAATAGAATCAGGGGCAAAGAAAAGGAGTGGACTGACAATTCTCAGGGGGAAAGGGGTGGGGGGGTACATAAAGAGACTGGACAAAAATCATACACCTATGGATGAGGACAGTGGGGGGGAGGGTAAAGGCAGAGGGTGGGGTGGGAATCGGATAGAGGAGAGCTGGGGTGGCGGGGGGAGAAAGAGGAACAACTGTATTAATCTGAGCAATAAAGATTTATTTTTTTTTAAATTCTGTTATTGGCAAAAAAACAACAACATACTAACAAAAAGATATCTGTTAATCCACAAATTTATTCTTCATTTTCATTGGACAAGAACCCATAAGAAGAGAGGTCTGCACCCCAAACCCCATGTTTCAATAATGTTAAGTTGTCTAATACTTTTAGAAAGCAATCTGTCACTGCATTTTAAATGCTATAAATATGTTTAAACTCTTTTATCCAAAATTAACTGTCCTAAGAAGTAAAATTCCCCCACATAAAGTCACCAGGTATTCACTAGTTTTATTCATGATAATAAAAACTGAAAACAGCTTCATCTTTACATTGGATTGATTAAACAAATTATGGGCAAGCATTTTAATATAATGTTATTTAATGATTCAAAAGAATAATTATTAAAATGGAAGAATATCATTGTGTATTAAATGAAAAATAAGAACAAAATGTTAGTTATACTACACTAATGTACACAAATTTGAATATTACTTAAAAGGCATTTTTTAAATAAAATGATCAAGAATACTACGTGGGGTTTTATGTCCTTTGATTATTGTTGACTTTATATTGTCTATGCAATAAATAAATTTTTTCTCACTAAAATATAGCAGGCATATAGTAAGTAAAATCAAATGATGCTACCATGGTTTAACAAGCTCAGTTAAAGCTATAAATAGTATAGTGAAGATGAATTTTCTAGGTAGATGAACCTTTAAGTGGTCTCTGTGGTTTCTTCTACGTCGACTAACTCTCAAAGCCAGAGTACTTTCTCTAAGGGTGGGAACTGGTTTTTTTAATCTTTATTGTTGAAAATGTAATCTTTATTGTTGAAAATTTTCCCCATTAATCCCCTCCAGCCCCCACCTCCACCTGCGCTATGCCTTAACCAAACTATTGATTATATCCAAGAATTATGCATATATGCATACAAGTTCTATGATTAATCCCTTCCCATCACCCACCCACCCACAAAGGGCACTCTTGATTGTGTTTACTAGTGTTATCTGTAGTGCCTAGCTGAGTGCCTAGAAAGCATTAGGAGTTAAATAAATAAATATCAATTGAATGAATTACACAATTAATAGTGGATAAAATCATGCATAATGTATCTGATGATGTGAGGGGGGCGGGGGAAATTAACAGCCAGATAATTTAACTTTTGAAAATTCTGTCTTAAATATATACTTATTTTAAGAAAAATTCTGTTTTTTTCCTACATTTTTCAGGTACATAACTAACTTCATTTTACTTTTCACTTTGTATAAGGGCAGTAAGAACAACAAATTGGGGGACATTTTATTTGCTAAATGAGAATACTTTAAATTTTCAGAAAATTCAATATTGAGAGTTAGTCCACCAGATATTTTCTTACTCAAATGACCTAATAATAAAATACTTATAATAAAATTATTAATGAAACCATTCTAACCAATTGTTAACTTACAATATAGCATGCTGATTTAGTTTCCTAGGGCTGCTGTAAAAGAAATAAATTGATGACTTAGAACAATAGGAGGTATTCTCTCAGTTCTGAAAGCAAGTCCTAAATTAAAGTGTTGGCAGGTCCATGCTTCCTCTGGAGGTGTTGTGGGCAGTTAGACAGACACAAGTAGGTCAAGGACAACGTGTCAGGCCCAGAAGGTCACCAGGGTGGAAAGCCCCAGGTGCCTAACAATGAACAGTCAATTGTAGGGTGGGGCCTTACCCCCAGGATGATTTTTCTTCCCCTAGCATATCAATTGTCAAGCGTTTTGGACCTCTGACCTTTCCATCCTAAAGATAACATTTATGCCTCCTATTTCAGCTCCAGGCCCAGATAAGCAATAAAACCAGCTATTTTAAATGACTCCTTGTCCTCAAGCCAATCAATGGAGACCATAATCCTAAAAGGACACACCTGGAAAGCTGCTGAATATTCTATTAAGATCTTCACCTGGGACCGCCCCCAAAATCTCCACCCTCAAAACACCTAGGATGAAGGACCCAGTCCTCTCCCAAGTCTTTCCCTTTCCTTTCCTCCCCCCCCTCCTTGCCCTACCTGCCCCAGGCACATTACCTTTAGCTTCTTCAGCCCAAACTCCAAGGGTCCTTCCTTTACCTCCATAACTCATTTCGTAAGCCCATTTCTTCTAGGAATTACTTCTACCTCTGTAATTTACCAAAGAAATGTTCTCTTACAGTTTGGTTCTTGGTTCTGAATTCTTTCCCAGCCAGAACCCAAGTACCAAAGTTGCTGAACCCAGGTTTAGTCTGACCCCACTGGTCAGACACTTGGTGCCATTCCCACTGCCTACAACAGAGGCTCTAGGAAAAAATGCTTCGTTGTTTCTTCCTAGTATCAGATGTTGGCTGACAATCCATGCATCCCTTAGCTTGTGGGAGCATCACTCCAATCTCTGCCTCTATTGTGTTCTCCCTGACCACCTCTTCACATGGCCTTCTTGAATGGGTGGGTATCTCAATGTCTAAAATTCCCTCTCCTTAGAAGTATACCAGCCATTGATAGGCCCAACCCAATCCAGTAACAACTCATCTCAACTTGGTTATAGCTGCAAAGACCCTATTTCAAAATAAGGTCATATTCACAAATGAAAGAGAACATATTGTTTAGGGAACAGAATTCAACCCACAACACATGCAATTATCACACCAAAATCATTTTAGGATGGGACCAAGATTTCAATGTAATAACCAGAAAAGATGAACAAGAATTAAAGTAAGAATATTGAGCAGGGAAGAAGTCAACATTTTTCTTAAAAAAGGCCACCAGGGCACTGGTAATCACTCAAGTGAAATTAAGACTTCAGGAAAGATATTGGAGCATAACACTAGCCTCGTTAGGTTAACCACCAGTTGAGAATCTATTTAATGTTCCAGTTGGGGAGCTATTTGCATCAATGTTCCATGTTACAACATAATACTTTGCTTTATATTTCCTTAAAATTGAGATTAATTGTTACTTAGTTTAACATTTTTATGGTAACATGAATTTCTTTCTTTGCCAAGCACACTAAGGTACTAAAATATTATGAGCCCAGTGATTTTTATATGATTGAACCAAGTAAAACTACCTAGGCTAATTGCAGACATGGTATTATTTTACATCATAATTTAGCAATGGTTGTTATGCTAAATCCTTTAACGTTAAGTTTTCACAAATATATGACAAAAAGACAAGAACATGCTCGGAATCAAGTAAGAGAAGTATTACTTAATAATAAAGATATAAAATTAAGGAGTAATAGTAACCTCATGCTGTTTTATAGGCCAATAATCTTGTTCCCAGCTCTGTTTCAAGACCATTCCTTCAGAAAAGGTGAATTTAAAGCAGGAATAATAGTAATTTCACCCAGTCCATATTTGATTATTTCTTCCACAGTTAGGTTTTCAATATACAAGAAACCGACTGAATTTTTTCTTTTAACCATAAAGTGAACGATAAACTCCTATCTCTTAGGAAATTAGAATTGTTCTAATTCAAATATATAATGAGATTTACACATCAAAATTCAAAAAGAATTCTCAGAAATGGAATGCGGCACTTGGTCCAGGTGGTGGAGACAGCAGGCGCCCCTGTGCCTTGAAGAAAGGAACATTTGTAGAGTTTGTGTGATATAGCCCAATCCTCTGTGTTTCCAATCAAACCTTTAATGAAAAGAATGCCCAGGGTGCCTTCCTCTGCTGCAGACATGTGAATGTGGAGGGGGAGACCTCTATGCCAGGGCTGGCGAGGGACAAGGACAGAAGCTCCATGTAGAACACTACACCTGTCTCTGGCTTATGTAGACAAATAGCACAGCCTTCTGCTGGCCATAAAAGCCAGGCATCTGGGCTTCGTCACTGACTCCATCCCCACTCCTCTCCACATTCGATGAATTAACCAAGTCGTATCAATACCTCATAGAGATCCCTCAGATCATTCCATGTTCCTCTCCTCACTGCTACTGTGGTAGTTCAAGCCATCATCGCCCTTGCCTGGACTGGAGCCACAGCCTCGTAAGGGTCACCTTTCCTTTAGTCCTGTTCCCTGGCCCTCATTTTTCAAAGTGCAGTCAGAGTGATAGTTTAAAAATAAAGATTGATTGTACTCTCTCAAAACAGTTCAGAGCTTTAGCCCATCCTTAGGATAAAGTAGTAATTTTTTAAAATATATTTTTATTGATTCATAGTGGAAAAGGGGAGAGAGGGAAAGAGAGGGAGAGAGAGGGAGAGAGAGAGGGAGAGAGAGAGGGAGAGAGAGAGGGAGAGAGAGAGAGAGAGAGAGAGAGAGAGAGAGAGAGAGAGAGAGAGAGAGAGAGAGAGAGAAACATCAATAATGAGAAAGAATCATTGATTGGTTGCTTCCTGCACACTCCACACTGGGGATCAAGCACACAACCAAGGCATGTCCCTGACTGGGAATCAAACCATGACCTCCTGGACAATGCTCAATCACTGAACCACACCAGCAGGCTAATCCAGTAACTTTTCACCAATCTTACTAGTAACTGAGACAGTGTCTAGCAGGGTACCCCTCTGGCAAAATGTCCTGTCCAGGGCAGC